GTGATCTCACAACATCTTTATGCCCTGTCCGCTGGAATTCCAAAGGGTAGCAAGACAGACCTTGGAAGGTACAGCTCATGCAACAAATGGCCAATAAAGCTGTTCTGTCTGCTCAGGAGCAAAGATAAGGTAGGAAAAGATGTGGACTGCTAGCTGGCCAATTTTTTGTATTACTCCAGGTCTGTTTTGCTTTATGGTGCAATGACGGGATTAAGGAGAAGTGTAGAAGGAGAGTATAGGAAGAACAAAAAACATCTGTGGAACATAGCCATTTGTTGGTAAACTGTTGTTTTCTGGCCTATCTGCTCTTCATCAAATCATGATTGTCTACTCACAATTTTTATTTATTTATTTATTTATTTTGACAATATTCTGCTCTAATCGAGGAGAACTGGTTTGAAGGGACAGGCTAACTTAAAAGCAAAACAAACAACAACAACAAAAAAACAAAACAAAAAAACCTCCATGCATCAAACTCCATGCAGAGTCCAGTGACAGGTCAGGAGATTGAGGTGTCATCTCAGCAAGTACCGTGGCAGCAGCTGTAGTGGGGAGCTTTGGATAGCTTCCCTGTTTGCTTACATTTGATCTAACCTGGACTTTTTTCCTCTTCTAATGAAGGTCCCTGTCACATATTTAATTGGTATTGCTCTCTGCATAGTCCTAGTAGCCCCTAGATTTGGCAGAGTACTTGTGAGTTGATTTTCTTTGTTTGTTTTCAGAGAGAGCAGGCTTGAGGACAGCACAGCAGAATGCATAGTGACTGTGGAGTTGAAGTCTAGTTTTACTTCCTCTGATACACTCATTTTCCTGACAAAGGGGACTACTTCTTAAGCAATAAATAGAGCAAAATCTGAAAAAAAAAACCAAAACCAAAACCAAAACCAAAAACCACTGCTCAGAAACACTGGGTGATCACACTTAGATGAACTGCTTTCTGGAAAGGAAAGAACTGATCTGTGGGCTTTGCTGTACTTGTGGCAACTTCTTTAGTGTACAGATGTATAAATTCACCATATTTTAAAAAATTGTGGTGCTTGATATTCAGCTGCTGTTGAGTCATCCCCTTGCTTACGTTTGGTTGCATATGCGGGTTCCACTGCTTAATCCTCTACATATACATACATTGCTTAGAGCACAAAGGAAGGTTTCGGCTATTCCTCCTGGGTATAAAGACTGTTAGGAGGTTGGAGGACTGCTTTCAGAATATTAAGAAGATTGCAGTAATCCTGCATAGAAAGGGTTTCTCCATTTCCCTGGAGAAACAGTATGTGTTTGTTGCCCTGTAAGAAACACTGTCAGCAGCTGCAGGGGAAGGCAGAGCTCTGCATCTGCAGGCTCACTGCCTTCATATGGAGGGCTTCAGCACAGCTACCCACACTGTAGTTCCTCTGCTCACGTGTACAAGCAGTCTATTATCAGCTGTGCTGGCTAAATCAGGCTTCCCTGGGCATATTCCTTGCTTTGCCTACGTGGTCAAATAGCTGCCGTACAAAACCCACAGTCAGGCTTTAGTAAATGCGTGAGGTGTACTTTCCTTCTTGGGGGAGGAACTTGCTTCGGTGAGAATGTCAGACGTGCTCAGGCTGTTTTTAGAACCAACAGCTGTAAGTGCCAGAACTTCCTGACATCTTCTGTATATCACTATGTATGAAGGGAACTATACAGCCAGGGCAGACTCTACAAGGACAGAAACAAACTAGAAATGTCAGTGCACAGCTGCCTTCTGAGAGGCCGAGTCTGTCCCAGCAATACTGTGCAACCAATGAGATATGTTATTTGAGTTGTGTCCCAAAGGAATACAGTTTAGTGCTGGGGGAGAAAAAGCAGAAAAAAAGGACAACATCTGTATTCCAACAAGTGCCCATAACGCTGGAAAAAGGCAGAAGATACCTTACTCTTCTTTTTTTTTTTTTTTAAATAAGTTGTCAGCTTATGCTTTGAAGTCTAGGATTGCTTATTTGGGGAAAAGATGATGCTTTCATGTCAAGAATGCGTATTTTGCTCCACTTAGGAAAAGCAGCTCAAATTCTAACACAGTTCTGTAAGCCTTAGAGAGGAAAAAAATCTGATGGTCTATGGTCTGTTACAAGTACTGCCTTAAGCTCTTCAGAGTTCATGAAAGCAGACTTTATTTGCCAATCTTGCTCCTCAAGTCTCCTGCCTCATATTGGTACAGCAAATGGAAGCTGGAATCTCACTTTATTCTCCTTTTTGCCTTAGGGTAACATAGATACCAGTCAGCTGCCTGGTTTGAGCATGGAGGGACAAGAGTCTGATATGTTGTTGTTGTTGAGAGTACAGATAGGAATGGGACAAGGAGAAGCGGAAGAGAAAATTGAGAATAAAAATGATGGTAGTTTAAGAGTGATTACTGGAAACAGAGACTACATAGTTAAGAACACACACTTAGGAAATATGGAAAGAAAGAAAACAGTGGAATTGCCAAAGAGAAATGACATTTACTGGGGAGGATAGAATAGTTCAAATCAGATGAAAAAACAGAAGACTGTAACAAAAAAAAACAAAAACAAAAACAAAAGTGAAGAAAATGTGAAAGAGGTTAAAACCTAGCAATCAACTTTGGCTCTAGGTATACTAAATTGATGAGAGGAGGAAATCCAGGCGTTGAGTCTTGCAAAGGAGGGGTAGGAAGTGGGTTTGAATGTATGAAAACAGGAAGTCTGGAGGAAGAGTGAAGATATGTGACTAGAAACTGAATCATGGAATCACAGAGTGGTTTGGGTTAGAAGGGACCTCAAAGATCATCTCGTCCCAACCCCTGCCATGGGCAGGGCTGCCCTCCCACCAGCTCAGGCTGCCCAAAGCCCCATCCAACCTGCCTCCAGTGGGCAGCTGTGCCAGTGCCTCACTACCCTTTGTGAAAAGAATTTCCATGACATCTAATGTAAACCTCCTCTCTTTTAGTTTAAAACCAGTATATACTCTTAACTTGCCACTCAGACCTGTGTTCCATTGAGAGAACCTCCTCATGTGAAATGCTGTTTTGTTATGTTTTGCCAGATTGCTGTATCTTGAGCATACAAGACGCAGATCATTATCAACTTGAATCACTGTTCTGACCTTACACTCCAAGGATATGCACCAGTTTATAAAATTAGAAAATACCTCCATTTATAGATGATGGAGATATAAGCCTCAGCCTTAACTGCACTGGAATGTAAGTTGTTCTGTAACACTAATTAAACCTTTAGAAGCACTGCACTTTTTCTTTGCAGCAAATTCAACTCCTTTAAGACAAACACCTCAAATACTCATCTGAGAAATAATTCATACAAGTGTCAGTAGTTAGTACAAAGGGAAAAACATGAGATTTTTGTGGAGGTTATTTTGTATCCTGTTGTCAAACATTAAGTACTGCAAACAAAAGCAGAATCTGTTAAGTTGTAAAGCCAGCCTAGAGCAAGCTCTGTGTTTTGCAACTGGAGTGATGACAGAGAAAGGAATAGAATGTTCCTTCATTCACCACTAGATAACATGAGGAAATATAATTTAATATTTCTGAGAAATAATCTTTCTATTTCAGACTCGATTTAAAGCTGTCCACTAAGAAGAACAAGAGGCATCAGGCATGATTTCTCCTTGTGACATGATCTTTGACTGAATCCACGATGGTCAGTAATGACAAATGGCCAGAGGAAGATGAAGCTCCCAGGCATTTCATCAACTCCTATCTCAGCAGCGTCCTGATGTATTGCAGCACTTGCTAGCCAACACATCTTTTATTCTTTGGCAGTTCTCTGAAGGGTTGTGTCAATAACATACAATTGCACTCACTTCAAAATCTGTTGGCAAGCCGTGTGGCCTGTCAGTGCAGCAAGCAGTGGGCCATTGCAGAGTGGTTTGGGTGGCTGTGAATGGTGTTGCTGGCTTCACAGCACCTTCTGGGTACCTGAGGAGCTGTGGGACAGTGGACATACTATGTTCAAACTTGGGCCCCTCACTACGAGAAAAGCATTGAGGCCCTGCAGTGTGTCCAGAGAAGGGCAGTGAAGCTGTGAGGGATCTGGAGGACAAGTCTGATGGGGAGTGGCTGAGGTAACTGGGATTGTTCAGTCTGGAGAAGAGGAAGCTCAAGGGAGACATTATCACTCTCTACCACCAGCTGAAAGGAGACTGTGGCAAGGTAGGAGTTGGCCTCTTCTCCCAGATAACAGTGTTTGGACAAGAGGGAATGGCTTCAAGTTTTGCTAGGGGAGGTTCAGATTGGACATTAGGAAGCATTTCTTCTCAGGAGTATTGAGGCAGTGGCACAGGCTGCCCAGGGAGGTGGTGCAGTCACCATCCCCGGAGGTGTTCAAGAGTCATGTGGATGTGGCACTGAGAGACGTGGGCAGTGGGCATGGTGGGGGTAAGTTGGTGGCCGGACTAGGTGATCTTAAGAGGTCTTTTCTAACCTAATGATTCTATGATTCTATGACGTGTGCACTGTCCTCGCCATGGCAGTGCGCTGGTGAAGTGTCAAGCCTTGTGCTTTGTGGAGTGCTGATCGCAAATGGTAGCTGGCAGGTGGAAATGCGAAGGGCAGAGTGGCTGACACCTGCGTGCTGGCCAGTGTTTGGCAGAGCTGGAAGCGTTCATGAGGCACCGAGCGCCTTGTGCTACACAGTGAAGCAGTGAAGGTGGCTAGAACAAGGGGTACAGAGCCATGGGCAGCTTGTGCTGCTGGAGAAGGGGCTGTGCGGCCGAAGCGTGTGACAACACTGCAGGAGAAGTTGGTGACCGGGTGACACTGGGCTGGCGAGAACCTGCGGGCGTCACCCGGCGCTGACAGCCGCGCACAGCAGACCACCGCCGGCGCCGCCATTTCGGCCGCGCCGCGAGAGGCGGCCCTTAGGCGTCCGCACCGATCGCCTGACAGCCGCGGCTCAGTGCGGCCACAGACCCCCGGCTCTCCCCGCCTCCCTCCCCCGATCAGGGTGACAGGAGGGGCGGGCGAGCGCGTGACGCCGGCGCCCCGCCTCCCGCTGCCGCTTCTGCTGCTCCCGGCGCCGCCGCCGTGTCGGCCCAGCGTGGGCTGGCGGTGGAGCTGCAGTCATGGAGCCGGAGCGTGAGTGCCGGGTGCTGTCCATCCAGAGCCACGTCGTACGCGGCTACGTGGGTAACAAGGCGGCCACCTTTCCCCTGCAGGTGGGTGAGCGGTGCTCGGTGCGGGAGGCTGCGGGTCGGCCTCGTCCTGTCGCGGGCGGTGGGTAAGGTCGGGGGACGATCGAGCTCCTCGCCGCGGAGCGAAGGAGAGGGGCCGGCGGGTGCCGCTGGCGGGCGGCTGCGGGAGCACCGGCGCGGCGCGCAGGGCGCCAGTGTGGGGTCCCGCACTGAGACCTGTGCTGGCCGGGGGGTGCGCCCCGCGGTGGTGGAGTTTGGCAAAGCTTCGCCCTGCGGGTAGTAGAAGGGCCCCTGAGGGAGTGCGTGAGGCTTGTGTGGGTGTAAGTGAATCTTGTCCTTCCATGACCGTCAGGTGCCGACTTCCTGCTAAGGTCTGGTGGCTGTTGGTGTGCGCTGGGGTGAGCTTTGGTGTGTGGCTTGTAAAATGCCTTTATGATACAATCTGTCTGCTTACCATAAAGAGATCCTTGCAGTGATGGGGTTGCACGAAACTTCCAGTTTAAGAATCTCATTGCCATAACACACTGTTGTGACATGGGTTGTCTGTGCTTTATAAATGCACTTGACTACACACCAGAGATGGTCTGTGCTGTGTGCTTGAGACCAGGCCTGCAACAAACCACACATCATGGAATCACAGAATGGTTTGGGTTGGAAGAGAGCTCAGAGCTTTCAACCCCTGCCGTGGGCAGGGCTGCCCCCCACCGGCTCAGGCTGCCCAGGGCCCCATCCAACCTGGCCTTGAGCGCCTCCAGGGATGGGGCATCACAGCTTCTCTGGGCAGCTGTGCCAGCGCCTCGCTCCCTCCAGGAAAGAATTTCCCTCTGACATCTAACACTTTTAGTTTAAAGTAATTCCCCCAATCCTATTACAGTGTACCCATGTAAAAAGTTGATTTCCCTCAGGTTTGTAATCTCTCTTCAAGTACTAGAAGGCCCAGTGAAGTCTCCAGTGAGCCCTTTCTTCTCCAGGGCTGAACAAGCCCATCTCCATCAGCCTGTCTTTGTAGAAGAGGTGCTCTAGCCCTCTGATTATCTTCATGGCCTCCTCTGAACCTATTCCAGCAGCTCCACTCCTTCTTATGCTGGGGGCCCCAGGCATGGATGCAGTACTCCAGGTGAGGCCTCACAAAAGGAGGGCAGAGGGGGACAATAGCTCCGCTTGTCTGCTGGCCACCCCTCTACAGCCCCCTAGCAGCAGCATCAGCCAGCTAAGATGTAAACATGTCTTCTGAAAATTAATACATGGTTGAGGTGATGTACACAGGAGATCAACATCTAGTAGAAAAAAGTGTGTATGTGGAGACCCATACCTGAAAGGCTGTCATGATCTGCAGACCAGCTGTCCGTCCATCTTTTCCCAATGAATAATCTCTAAATTGTGCTCCCATTCCTCTCCCCAGGCCTTTTTTGTGATAGCAAAAAGCTTTGCAGTAATCTTTGTTTCAGAAATGATGAGGCTTTTCAATTTTGGTTTGGAGGATCTCTTTACTGCTCTGTTACTCAGACTTCCTCTGACGTATGAGCCTCTGTATGACTTGACAAGTTGGTCCTTGAAAGTGTCTTTTTTGCTTCTGGACTATGATACAGTTAAATACTATGGTAGTTAAAAAGTGACTTAGAGCTGGTTCTGCATGGGAGATTGTCAGAATTATGCTCTGTTGCTCCTCAGTGTGTAGCACAGATAGAATTTGCTAGGGTGGAGGAAAAAACAGCTCTCCTGTCTCTACAGGCTGCACTTGGAAATTTGTATGTTGGCAGCCTCTAATTAAGTTGTGCTTACTAGGAAGTTATTTTCACCTTGGTATTGGTGGAAGAGCAGAAGTAGCAAGTTTCCAACAAGTGGAACTTCATTTCCTTTTCCAGGCTGCATGGGGCTGTGGGCATGGCCACCAGTGCTGGAGTTCAAGGAGCATCTGGACACCGCTCTCAGTCATAGGGTTTGGATTTTGGGTGGTCCTGTGTGGAGTCTGGAGTTGGACTCTATGATCCTTGTAGTGTCCTTTCAACTCAGAGTATTCTATAGCTCTGTAACTTTCCAGAGAAGCAAAATCTACTCAGCTATGCTTTGAATTATTGTATGAAAAGATTCAATAGCTTTTGCTTGCATGATTTTATTTACCTTTAAAATTTCTGAAGGTGATTCTGAGTTACTCTTAAAATAGTCCTAAGTTACTTCCCAGTTGTGTAACCTGAATAGCTTTGATATCAGGAAAAGCTTTAGGTTTGTCCGGTATTTATGAATAGTGGTAAAATGAACGTTAGGGAGTTGCTATTGTTAGTTAGGTAACTTGTTTTAATCCAAGGATGTGTCTCCTACTTGACTTGTCATAGTTTTCATGATATGAAATAAAAATAGACATATTCATTACAACACACAACATTCAGCATTATGTTACTGTCAGTGTTTTCTTCCCCAGACGGATTTCTTGTTCATTAATTTTAAATATCATTTTGACTCCCCTTTCCTACTTGACCTTCCAGGTAGGAAAGAATGTGTGTAAGTATGGCAATAAGCAGAGGCTGCGATGCTGGCAAGCAGAGAGTGAGAGACCTCCACAAACCACAGAGTGAATTCACAGAGATGAACATGTTTCTGTTCTGTGGAGGTACCTCATCCTGGTCACCAGGAACATCTCTGTCAGTAGGTGGATTTGAGATGTATATAGGGCACCCATCAGAAAATCAGCACTTGTGAGTGAGTATTTCAGGCTGTATGTTCAGTCCTTTGTGCTGCTGTGAGTTTCCAAATAAGTTTGAAAGGGCAAGGAAAAGACAAGGGAAGATCTCAGCTGGTTTGACGTGGGCAGTGGACATGCACATTTGGTCCACTGGGCTAAGTAATACTGTCTGCAAGCCAGAGGCTGCAGATTTTTGTTTATGTGTAAGTAACTATCACAGCCAAATCTTGTACTTTGTTTTCTTTGTGTTTGATAATGCTAATGGAACATAATGGCGAGTTTGTTTGTTTGCTTGCTTTTGATCTGCCCTAATGCTCACAGAATTTGGGATAATGTTGTCTCTGTTATGATTTAGTTCTTGACTTCCTTTTCCATATCTGTTTACCTTGGAGATGGAACTAAAAGCATGGAGAAATACCATGTGTTGTTTGGCTCTGGCATCTGAAATTGTTTTTCCTGCATTGTATGATGCCACCAAAACAGCTCCTCTAGTACAGAATAAAAAAGCTTTTGGTTTGGTGGTTTCTGTTTCTCTTTTTAAAATTCATTTATGAAGAATGAAAATAGCTGTCTGTTTGGGTGTTAATAAAGACAGGTGATTCTCATGCTTCTTAGATTGGTCCTCAGTGATTTTCCTCCACAGACAGTAGGCCTGTGGTTTTAGTTCCTTCTTTATTGTAAGAAGAAATGGTAAAGCAACTTTGGCCAACATAGCTGGTGATTTCTATAGTATTTAAGGATAGTCTCCAACTGCATTGTTCAGACACAGATAGAATTTGCTTGCGTGTGATGAGATCAAAATCACTGTAAACCCATTCCTAATGATTATCTGGTGCCATAGCAAAGAGAAGTTTCAGGCTTTTATTTTTTTTTTTCTATCTTTTTGTTTTGAACAATGTAGTCAAATGTGCCAAGTATTGTACAGGGAAAGAGTAGGAATAGGAGTATTTCTTATTTAAGATGACTGCTTGTTCTGCTTTTCAAAAATTACTTCTATGGCATCAATTATATGAGTCAGAAGAAGGATGAATCAATCAAAGGCCTTTACAGAATAACAATAGGAAATGTATTTATTGGCCAACCCCTGTTTTTGTTGTAGATCAAAGGCTGAAAAAATGAACTCGTCAAAAATAAATGCAAAGAGAAAAGAATACATTTTCTGTTTGTAATGTCCAAAGATTGTCCTAAATGGTTCATCTGAAGCAAGAATTAGGGCTTTACATTCATGTTATGGCCCTTCACTACAAGAAAGACATTGAGGCCCTGAAGTGTGCCCAGAGAAGGGCAGTGAAGCTGTGAAGGATCTGGAGCACAAGTCTGATGGGGTGCAGCTGAGGAAACTGGGATTGTTCAGTCTGGAGAAGTGGGACTCAAGGGAGAACTTACTGCTCTCTGCAATCACCCAAAAAGAGCTGGGCATGTTGTGATGGACTGATGGTTAAACTAGGTGATCTTAGAAGGCTTTTCAACCTTAGTAATTCTGTGATACTAATACAATAGAACGATACGCACTAGAAAAACAAATGACATACAAAGTTACTTCTCTAAAATTTCCCTTGTAATGAATTGTCTCTTTTTTTATGTTTTATATTTACATCCCAAAATACTGATGATCTTTTCTTGAGGAGCTTCCAACTATATAAGGTAATTGATGTACATAACACTTGAAGTGCACCAGGAGGATTCACTTGATGGATGATGCGTGCCCCTGCAGAAGCCAGACTAGCACATCATCTTGTAGCTTGGCAGCAGTGGCATAACTTGTGATAGCAGGTGTTGCTGAGCTGAAATTTGGCTATGCTGAACTACTTGATGTTTTTCAGATGTCTGTTCAGGACTTTGTTGGTGCTAATTCGTCCATGTCTCTGAGCTCCAGTTCTTTAACATCTGCAACAATTAAAAATAGAGCAGGAGACACAATTTAGTTACAACCTCTAACGTGAATCATTTTAAAAAACAACTTTCTTCTGGCACTTCTTGCCAGAGGAATGTGTTGGCTACAGTTAGTGATAGAGCACTTGCTGAAAAATGGTAGAGCCTGCCCTGTGGCACAATGAAAGCCAGAGGTGCAGTTTCTGAGCTGTAGATACAGTGATTTCTGAAAGCAGAAGTGAATGATTTTTCTGGTTGGTGGAACCCTTCCAGTCTGATTGCAATTGTTCCCCTTTTCTCCTGTGGGACCAGTAGTACTTCTCAGAAGGGGATATGGGATGGAAATCTCAACCAAGAATGACATAGCCATTATCTTTGCTCTGATGCTTGCCTTAAATATTCTATTGTTTGTTAACTTATTTGTTTGGAATTAACACTGAATCACTGGTTTTCTTCCTGAATCTTATAGTGC